TACTTCCACTACTACTTTTTCACTGTTTTGCAGTTCAGAATAAACATATTCGTTGCATTAAATGGTAAATGGACTGTACCTGTATAGTTCTTTTCTTGCCTCGAGCACTCAAAGCTCTTTAACACTACATGTCATCATTCACCCATTCACAGCCATCCATACACTGATGGCAGAAGCTACCATGCAAGGTGCTATCAGGACTATCTAACATACATACCTGTTCATAGCAATTTGGGGTAAAGTGTCTTGCCCGAGGACACATCGACATGGGGATCGAACTGCTGATCCTCTGATTGAGGGATAACCCTGCTCTACCACTGAGCCACAGTCGCCCCAACTGAATTATTCAATAATGATGATGATGATGATGATGATGTAAGATGATGTATTGCAGATAACAATAGTTATAAACCTTGTCATGTAGGAGATTGGCTTACAAACTACGAACACAAAACCTCAGCTGTCTCAGTCAGACTCCTCAGTACATGACACTACATGGTTGTTGTCTTTTCAATTATACAAAAATACACAGTGAAATCCTTCCATCCTTTTGAAATGTAAATATAAATGGGAAAGTAGTCACTTGTGTAGACATCCAGTCAGAGCAGATGCAGCAGTGGAGGGTCAGCATGTCCACAGGCTGCTGTGGAGGAAGCTGAAACTCTATAGCACTCCAAAGACATATGGGCATCCTGTCCACTCCAACAGGGAGGCACAGTGTCAAGCAGCCCACACTACTAGAGTCTTTACATACATTTATACATATACAAGGAGCAGTTCAAGTGATACACGAGTAAACACTAGCATCACTGCTTTCTGTCTACGAGGTCCTGCAAAGCACCACATTTTGAAGTGAAATTGAAAAGTTTGAAGTGCAAATATCTGTGTAAATGTGCATGTTTTCGAACAGTGAGATTAGTGTTCCACTTTGAGCAACCCCGAAAAGGAAAAACACCAACGGTGATATTGAAGCAAAGTGCGATGAAAGCAAGATGTGGTAAGAAAAACTGCTTCAGTCTCTAACTATACTGTTAATGTGTGTATAGTTATTACTCTATTGTTAATGTGTGTATAGTTAT